CTCCCCCACTTTGCTCCTATTGTCTATCGCTATCTCTCTCTTAAATAAATAAATAAAATCTTAAAAAAAAAAAAAGTTGAAAATAGAGCTACCCTACAATCCAGCAATTGCACTACTGGGTATTTACCCCATAGATACAAATGTAGGGATCCAAAGGGGCACGTGCACCCCAATGTTTATAGCAGCAATGTCCACAATAGCCAAACTATGGAAACAGCCTAGATGTCCATCAACAGATGAATGGATAAAGAAGATGTGGTATATATATATACAATGGAATATTATGAAGCCATCAAAAAAAAAAATGAAATCTTGCTGTTTGCAACGACTTGGTTGGAACTAGAGGATATTATGCTAAGCAAAATAAGTCAATCAGAGAAAGACAAGTATCATATGATCTCACTGATATGAGCAATTTGAGAAGATAGACGATCATAGGGCAAGGGAGGGAAAAATGAAACAAGAGGAAACCAGAGAGGGAGACAAACCATAAGAGACTCTTGATCTCAGGAAACAAACTGAGGGTTGCTGGAGTGGAGGGGTTGGGAGGGATGGGGTTGCTGGGTGATAGACATCGGGGAGGGTATATACTATCGTGAACTCTGTGAATTGTGTAAGACTGATGAATCACAGACCTGTACCCCTGAAACAAATAATGCATTATATGTTAAAAAGAAAAACAGGTAGTGGGTTATAGGAAAAGAAAATTAATTTTCCTTATACCCGTCTAGCTTTTTGGGTGAGACCACCACTCCCCATAATAAAAAGGCAGATTAACAGAAGAAAAACAAATTTAATTATGTATGTACAGGTATCCCATAAGGATAGGAGATGCAAAGAGACGACCAAAACAGAAGATTTAATACATTTTAGACAAAGAAATAATAGAGTTGTGAAGAACTGACAAGACAAAGGGGTTTGGACTTGGGGGCAGTTAACGGTAAAGAAGGAACAGAGTTTGTGTATATTGTCTTCTTGAATACAGTCTTCTCTCCTAAATGCCCTCCTGGCACAGGGAGGTGGGTCAGATTGTCCTTCCTACACCGTCGTTTCCTAGGTACCATTAATTCAAAATAATCAATATGCCAAAGTGCCATGTTTGGGGATGACATTCTGAACCCCTACAGGGTCGACCACAATTTTAAGATGCTTGGTTTCTTTGAGGTTTCAGATATCAAGGTTTGTAAAGTGAGTGCTAATATAAGAGACTGTTCATCACATCTGTGCTGAGAATAGTAGGAAGTTCAGAATCCCTGCAAACCAGAGCTCCGGAACAGGTGTTCACAGCATATTATCGTGGTGCCTCTGTAGAGAATAGAAACCTGAGTAAGGGAGAAGGGCCCACAGTGGCCCCCTAACCCCCTGGCCTGAATACAGACAGGCTCTAAGGTGACACACCTCAAAATATCCATAACCCCAGGTGATCAATGGGCTACTAACACCTGAACACAGGTCCCAAAAAGGGAAAACTGCATACGTCCCCACACCTCCTCACCTCCCCCCCCCCAACAATTCCCCCTTAACCAAAGCCCCCCACCACCGCCTCCTGGCAGCCCTCTCTGCTTTGCTGTCCTGCCCACAGCTCCCTTGCAGTGTTCAATAAACTTCTATCTCCTCTGTTCTGCCCTGGGTGAATTCTTACCCACGCCGCTGGCCTCCACCTGACCAGCTTGCCCCACATTTGGTGGCCCCTCCCATCCGATCAAGAGACCCCACAGCCTCTGTAGATTCCACAAGATAAACCAGACTTTTTAGTTGTAGAGAGTCTTGAAAAATTACTACCAAGTTGAAATAAAGAATGGAGTCCATAGACAGTGGTGGGAAACATTTGAAGGGTTCACAGCCTCCACCAGGTCACGGCTGAGGGGCCGACTCCACTCCTGCCTCCTCTCCAGACCGATTCCTTTCCCACCACGGCGCCTCTCGAGGCTGGAAGGGCATGCCAGTTCCTCACTCACTCTTGGGCCCTGTGTCCATGGCCTCCACAGAGAGCTCCTGGCTAAGTTGTCAGCATGCAGGTCCTCCTTGACATAACCCACCCAAAGAAAATGGATCCTCCATGGAAGCAATGGGCACCCCCCGCTCCCCATTTCGACCTTCAATTTACATCTGGCTTGGTCAGCAAGAGTCTCAAATGCCTTTTTTCTTTTTTTCTATTCTTAATTACTGTGAAACACCTTCTTGTAGGTGCATCCCTCTGGTCTTGCGCACTTGAAAACAAAACTGCAGGAAACATCGTTTATCCTCTACGAATTTAATCTGGATGGGTTTCAAATTTCTTGAATTTGTCCTGTTCAGTCGCACTATTTTATGAATAATGCTGTTATGCGTCCTTGTATGTACAAATGCTTTCGTTCCTTTTGGGTAAAGACTTAGAGGTTGAGTGGCTGGGTCATATGATAGCTCTATGTTTATCTTTTTTTTTTAAGGTTTTTGTCTTGTCTTGTTTTGTTTTTAAAGATTTTATTTATTTATTTGACAGGGAGAGACACAACAAGAGAGGGAACACAAGCAGGGGGAGAGGGAGAAGCAGGGAGCCTGATGTGGGGCTCGATCCCAGGACCCTGGGATCATGACCTGAGCTGAAGGCAGACGCTTAACTGATGGAGCCACCCAGGCGCCCCTTGTTTTGTTTTTTTTAGAGACAGACAGTGCGGGTGTGCCAGCAGGGGTTGGGGAGGGGCAAAGGGCGAGGGAATCAGAATCCTAAGCAGACTCCATGCTCAGCATAGAGTGATCTCATAGGTCGTGATCTCAGGACCTGAGCAGAAATCAAGAGTTGGACATTCAACCAACTGAGCCACCCGGGTGCCCCACTATGTTTATCTTCTTGAGGAACTGCTGGGCTGTTTTCCAAGTGCCTAAACCATTTTATTCTCCCACCAGCAGTGCCTGAGGGTTCTCATTTCTCCATCCTTACTAATACTTGTTCTCTTTCTTTTAAATTCTAGCTACCCAGAGGAAGTGGTATCTCACCATGGCTTTGATTTGCATGTCCCTAAAGATGAATGCTATTAAGTTAATTATATAAGGAAGCGATTCTACCGAAGACAAAGAGAGACGCTGGAGGTGGGGGGCCAGTTATGAGAGGTTTCCATGAAGAACACAGAAAATAAAGATAAGGTTCTTATACATACAGGTTTCACTCCCTGCCTTGTCCAGCAATAAGAGTTTGTACTGATTTGGAATCATCCTCTTCCTAGTTCAGAGGAGGAGAGGCTTACAAATGGAGATTTCCCTTATAAATGTAAAGTTCCCTTATAAAAGGATAAATTGATTTTTTTTTTTTTAAGATTTTATTTATTTATTCATGAGAGAGAGAGAGAGGCAGAGGGAGAAGCAGGCTCCCAAGGAGCAGGGAGCCCGATGCGGGACTCGATCCCAGGACCCTGAGATCATGACCTGAGCCGAAGGCAGACGCTTAACCATCTGAGCCACCCAGGTGCCCCAAGGATAAATTGCTTTTAAGAGCTTCTCTTGTTAGTGTATTGTCTCAAAAATAAGCAGTTCAAGTCATCCTTACGCCAAAAGGGCATATTTTGGGGTCACATATTCTGATATCCTTCAATCCATTTTGAGTCAATTTATGGGGCGTAAGGTAGGGATCTAAATTCAGTTTTTGTATGGAAATATCCAGTTGTCCCAGTACTGTTTATTGAAAAGACTATTCTTTTCCCCATGGGATTTTCACGGCACCTTTATTAAATACAATTGTACTATTTTAAATACTTTTTTTGGTGAGAGAAGAAATCTCTGTTTTTGTCATTAATTCCAAACTTTCTACTTTAGCAGAATAAAATTATATTTCTTATGCTGCAGATCTAATGTTTATCAACACTAATTCAAGGATTATCTACAACTCAGTTCAGTTCAAAAAAAATTAATTTGAACGAAGGGCAAAATTTGTATTTCAGTGGAAAATGAAATACTGTCTATAGGCTTTCCCAGTTCTCTGATTCTAGACTTTCTTGTATGTGAGCTATTTTACAACTCTATCAATTGTAGGTAACTGATAATGATGAGGGAGCAGAAGGCTCGCTGAGGACAAAGCAGCAGCTGACCCCCTACCCCCCCCCATGTGGTATGTGTGACATTCCTCAGGCACTCCCGGCTGCCCTAAAGGAAAAACGAACGGTTAACCGATAAGATCACAGTCCTGCAGGACAGGAGTCTCCCTCAGTTTACCAATGTCCTAGTGATTTACAAGGAAGCTTTCTCATCAATAGCCTAACTTCCAGAGACCCATACCTCGGTTCCTGAAGCCCTAACATCACCCTCCCCTCCATAAAATTAAGGGAGGCTGAGGCGGAAGGAAATGCAAATAAAATGGAATTTCTTCTAAACCTGAAGCCCACTGACAAGGACGTGTGATAGGAGGAATGTAACATTCCTCCGGGAAACCCCCATCTGTCTTCCTGTTCGTGCCTCCTTAGAGGGGAAAACAGCCTTGGCCTGACGATGACCAGGCCTCCAGGACCCCGAGAGTCTTTAGCACACAACAGTCCTTCTGGACTCTCGCCTCCCCAGCTCCCAAGTATAAAGTCAGCCACACCTCACAAACCGGAGCAGCTCTTTCTGCCCACGGGTCCTGTCCCCGGGGTCTAATACAACCACCTTTTTGCACCAGAGACGCTCAAGAACTCTCTCTTGGTCGTCGGCTCCGGAGCTCACATGGCCGAACCTCACTTAGGTTCTAAAACTTCATCAAGTCCATCTGGGGCCTGGGGGTTTTCTCTGGGAAAGTGTGCTGTGCCTCTGGGCCTGCTCCCGGGACACCGGAGATCCCGGGGGAGGCGTGGCGAGGGGGAAGTGCTAAGTCGCCATGAGATGACTGGCTCGAGGGTGGAAGCCCGTTCCTTACGCCCTGGGCGCCCTGAAGGCACAGCGGAGGAACAGGTTCCGTTCCCTGGAAGGCTCTGGGAGCTCTCTCCCCAGGCGCCCAGCCTCCAGCGCACCCAGCCCCTCCCAGCCACGTCCCAGCCCCGAGCAGCCAGGCCCACCTCTCCTCCGGAGCCGGCGCTGGGTCGCTCCTGGCGCAGCAAGGCCTCCTTTCCCAACGCCTGTCCCCAAGGTGGGGCTGTCACCGAGGATGGCAACGAGCCGCTCTCCCGAGACCGCTGTGGGGCCGCGGCCCATGGGGGCGCGTTCGGCGGCCGCGGCGCAGGGTGGTCCTGCTTCTCGGCGGCCGCTGCAAGGCCGCCTCCGGCAGAGGGGCTGCCGCCGGCCCGGCCGCCCCGGCGCGGGCCCCAGGCCGAGGGCTCGGCGCTCCCTCTGGGCCCCGGCTTGCCGAGGGGCCGCGCGGGGGCTTGCTCGGGTTGCGCGCTGTCGTCCGAGTGCCCCGGCGCCTCCTCTGGGCCCCGCTCTGGGCCTAGGAAGGGCCAGTCCTTCCCGATCTCCTGCGGCGCGTCGCCCCACCGTCCCGAGGGCGCCCCCCTGTCGCGCAGCATCGCCCCGCGGTCCAGCAGCCGCGCCGGCCTGCGCACAAAGGTGAGGAAGGACCCGGGGGCGCCCACGGCCTTGGGCGCACAGCTCTCGGAGCGCGGGCAGCTCACCAGGTAGCAGCGGCCCTCGAGCCACCAGGCCAGGTCGCAGCCGGCCAGCTCACAGCACGCGGCCGTGCAGCGCACCGCGGGGCTGCCCGGGGGCCCCCGCGCGATCCTGGTGGTTGCCGGGTCCGGCGAAACGACGGCATTGGCGAACGTCCTCCCCTCGCGGCACGGGCCACCGGCACAACCTGCGAACAACGCGGTCCCCGGTGAGGAAAGGCGGCGCCCAACGGGAGGTCCCCGCGCCGCTCGCAGGCCTCGCCCCCCGCCCCCCTCTGTCCCGCCCGCCGCCCACCTGCCCGCCGGGCCCTCCGTGCTCTCTCCGTGTGCCTCCGTGGACTGAACAGAAGCATCCTTTTCCAACCGCGTCCTGCTTTTGTTTTATTTGTAATATTTTGCTCCTCACCCAAAAGTCAGTTATAAAGGTTTACTCTGGGGACATCATATTATTGCTGCTGTTAAACTGATTTTTTGTTTTTTTAAATCTCACAGGTTATTCTGATGATAGGTCAGTTGCCGGGGAAATATCAAAGGAGAGAAAAACTTGCCCTCAATACAGATCTGTAACAACTGGTCTTTTGGTTTTCTTTTAAAGATTTTTATTCGACAGAGAGACAGGGCACAAGCAGGGGGAGCAGCAGAGGGAGAGGGAGGAGCAGGCTCCCGGCCGAGCAGGGAGCCCGATGCGGGGCTCGATCCCAGGACCCCGGGATCATGACCTGAGCTGAAGGCAGACGCTTCACCGACTGAGCCCCCCCGGCGCCCCTGTAACAACCACCTTTAATCAGATTCTAAATAGCTACAAATATTCCCAGTCCGCAAACAGGACCGGTCCGAGGGCAGCTACCCCGTGTTCTGCAGACACAGGGTGCAGGCCCACAAGACAAAATGACAGCAACTGAGACTTTCAGAACCTTCGGCAGCAGTCTGTCATTCCCTGAAATCCAGAGGCAAAGTCACTTTTATTCTTTATTTGTTGGTAGAGATTTCTTTCCTAGTGAGGGCTTGTCACTGACAATTTTTTAAATTACTGTTATTTTCCTCATAGTGACAATCAGAGAGCACTTCTGACTGGAGGGAAGAGAAATGGAGTCATTTTTATTTTTACCTATATATACGTGATCATCATTATACACTTTGAAGAACTGTTCAGTGCCAAACACTGACTCTATAGGAAAGTCTAATTGGTCCAATTTAATAGGAATTAGATGTAACAGATACGCATCTTTCCAAATGAATAATCTAGCAACAAACTAATTCAACTGGAAGGATATTTTCTCAAATGCAAATCTACTTAATAGTTTTGGCCTTTTTTTTTTTAAGGCAAAGATAGTCTTTTTTTAAAATTATTTATTTATTTATTTGAGAGAGAGAGAGAATGAGAGAGAGAGAGAGAGAGAGAGCACATGAGATGGGGGAGGGTCAGAGGGAGAAGCAGACTCCCTGTTGAGCAGGGAGCCCGATGCGGGACTCGATCCTGGAACTCCAGGATCATGACCTAAACCGAAAGTAGTTGCTTAACCATCTGAGCCAACAGGCGCCCCTAGCCTTTTAATTTCTAACAAAAAGCTTAATATCGGATATAGAGGGGGGAAAAAGCCCTCCAGCTGAACATAAAAAAATAGCATCTTTAATTAAAACCAACTGATGGTGTACAACAGACAGGTAATCTCGGACTCCCACCTCTACTCTCAAAAATATTGCCTTTATTTGTAAAGATACCACTACATCCCTGAGTGGCCTTTGAAGACCCAAGCTAGAAACTTCTTCCAAACACACATGGTAGGATATGCTTTATTTCCCTGGAAAAACTGTTAGGTCATCTTCTTTTGGACAGTGTGATCCACAGAAAACTGCCATGTCTCATTTCTGGCGTTGGCCACCAGGCAGCTCAAAAGCCAACTTGTAAAACTGTCAGAAACCACCGTACAGAAGGCAGGCTGTGATCCTAAAGCAAGCAAACTGTTTCAGTGGCTAAGGAGAACTTTCCATGGCAGAAGCCTTGGAAAAGCTTAAAGTAGTTTTCAATCAGGTGGAGACTGCCATACACTTCTGGGGGTACATCATCCCTTTGTTCTGCAAAAAAAAAATCACCTGAATGATCTGTATGGACAGACATACCTTACACAGAGGTCTTAGTGCTCAATAAAGAAGTTTGAGAGGGTTTCCAACAACTAAACCATGCTTCTGTTGGGCCAAGTGGCCATAATTACTTAAGACTCTATCAGACTCACTCAACAAAAGCTCTTGAAGAGAACAGAGAAGACTTACTCATGTTCGTACCCTCTACACTGTCCCAGCCCAATCTAGGAACATAGTCACTCCATGATTGTTGACAAATCAATGAAATCATTGGCTAGCATTCTGTCAAAGGTAGAGAGGATAGAGAGGGAAGACAAAGAAATTGCAAATAATGTTCCTAATAAAGTAATTCAGGAATTTTAAATTAATGGAAAAATCACAAGAAAAAGACAAAAAGGAATGAAAAAGTGGGGATTTGAGAGAGGAAAAAAAAAAAAAGAGTGCTCAAACATTAGTAATCTATTGGGGAAGGACCGGGCTTTTCCAGTGGGAGCGTTTTCTGAAGGGCCCCTATATACACCAACAGTGCTTATAATAATTTAGCTGCTTCAGACCCCTGAGCCACACCTGCTCTGGTTCAGTAGGTCTGAATGCAGATAAAACTGCATTTTAACAAGGGTCACTCTCAGTGTCAAAAAGAAACAGGCCCAAAATGGAATCACTTATGTTAACCCCACAGAGATGACCTAATTGTAACTGCAGAGTCAGTCTCTTCCAGGAATGCAACTGAGACTCCTCAGTCTGGAATGTCCTGATCTACTCCTGAGGTCTTCTGCCTGCCTTGCCCTAAGGGAAGGTGACCTTGCCTCCTTCTGCCTTTGTGCATGAGGTCTGCCTTCGTGCCTTTTATATGTAAAATAATTCTGTTGGAAAGCAAACACACAGCACCTTCATTTCAGGTTATCTGAGTTGTTTTGGTTTTGTTTGTTTGTTTATTAGTTTCAGAGGTAGAGGCAGTGATTCATCGGGTACATATTACACCCAGTGCTCATTACATCACGTGCCCTCCTTAATGCCCGTCACCCAGTTACGCCATCACCCCCTACTCCCCCTCCAGCAACCCTCAGTTTGTTTCCTGTGATTAAGAGTCTCTTATGGTTTGTCTCCCTCTCTGGTTTCGTCTTGTTTCATTTTTCCCTCCCTTCCCCTAGAATCCTCTGCCTTGTTTCTGATCTGAGTCGTTTAAGCCAAAGACAGGAGGCTCGTGTGCGATGCTAGGGTCTCCAGGGTGATGGTTTCCTACCTGCAACAGCCGTCAGCAGCAGCAATGACGAGGGCACACTGGTGGGGGGTGCCATCCCGTCTCACACAGTGGATGCAGTCCGGCTTCCGAGGAGACCCGGGGGCCTCCAGTGCAGGCTTCCTTTGATGTTTCTTAGGAACCAGATTTGGACTCGGGAACTTCAAAGGAAAATTAGAAAGCAAACAGGAAGGAAGAAAAAGAGTACGTAAATGAGGAAACACACAAAATTATTTGTAGGATTTATTCATGTCACTGGGAAGCCTGTCCCGTTAACACCACAGGGCCCTATTCCAGGCAAGCCACCCACCCCAAGTTTGTGCAAACAGAAAGTACAGTTCCTGAGATGAGACAGAGGCTTTCATGCTTCTGTAGGGCCAAGGGCAGGCAGCCCCAAAATGGGCCACTTTGGCACGAACACTATTTTGAGTTAAAAGCAATCCAAACCCAGCAGATTCAGGAAAAGCTCTTTATCGCCTCTCAACTGCCTACTTGTATCAGGAAGAGAGCTATTTTTTAAAAAGATTTATTGATTTATTTATTTGAGAGAGATAGGGAGCACACACACATACACAAACACACACGTGTGTGAGCAGAGAAAGGGGCAGAGGTACAGGGAGAGAACCTCAAGCAGACTCCCCGCTGAGCACAGAGCCTGATGTGGGGCTTAATCCCACAACCCTAAGATCATGACCTGAGCCAAAATCAAGAGTCTGAGGCTCAACCAACTGAGCCACCCAGGAGCCCCAGGAAGAGAAATATTAACAAAGATTCCTCTCTACCTAAGAAACTTCTCTACCTGTGGTTTCCAAACACCTCCTTTCACCTTCCTGCTAGTGGTCTTTCTCCCCTCAGTATTCTCAGACCTCTACCCCTCTCTTTAGCTCATCATATAAGCCTCATTGTGCCTGACTGTCTTGGGAATTTCCATGCCTGTGTGGATTCCCCATACGTACACTATTAAATTTGACTTCCTCCTGTTAACTGTTTCCTGTCAATTTGACTCTTAGTCCAGCTAGAAGGACCTTAAGGGGCAGAGGAAATTCTTCATCCCCAACACTTGCTCCCCTTCCAAACCCAAACCTATGAAATAAGATGAAATCAATTATACTACTATATTTTGTCAATTCTGTAAGTTACATATTTTCATACTTGACCCCTGGAATCAGGATGTCTTAAGTCGGTCAAGCACTGGGCAGGAAATAGATACCATTGCTTGTATGTACATATTGATTATGCAGAACTGGTAATCTTGGCTTGGAAGAAAGACAGTATGAAGCACTCTTTTAAGAAATATTGCATCCCTACTGCTCATGATGATACACAGGCAATGCTGTGTGGGAAAAACTCAGCCTTGACAAATGATTCAGCAGAAGTAGATCAAGATTGTAGGGAAATTCAAGAGCACCTTACTTTATATTCACTTAGAGTTCCTTTTTACCAATGCACAAGGATGATTTATGATAAAAATCTGTCCAAATAAATCTATTTAAATGTGCGGAAATTTTCTGACAAGAAAATGAGGTGCTGTGGATAACTGACAGGATTTTTTTCTTCCTTAGTGGTATTTAAAATAATGATGCCTCTTATAATCACTACCATCGTAGAACAGACAAAATGTAGTAACAGTGGCACTTCATTTTTGTCTGGTAATTTCTTCAATGTGATCTTCATAACAACCCAGCCAATATTATTATCTCTGTTTTAAAAATGATGAGGGGCACCTGGGTAGCTCAGTCGGTTGAGCATCCAACTCTTGATTTTGGCTCAGGTCATGATCTCGGGTTGAGATAGAGCCCCACAACAGGCTCCACACTGGGCATGGAGTCTGCTTCAGATTTTCTCTCTCCCTCTGCCCTTCCCCCCCACCTCCCTCTCGTAAAAAAAAAAAAAAGGATGAAATTGAAGCACCAAAAAGTTCACTGAGGGGTGCGTGGGTGGCTCAGTTGGTTAAGTGTCTGCCTTCAGCTCAGGTCATGATCCCAGGGTCCTGGGATGGAGTCCCCTGTCAGGCTCCCTGCTTTGCCCCTCCCCCTGCTTGTGTTCTCTCTGTCAAATAAATAAGTAAAATCTCAAAAAAAAAAAAAAAAAATGTTCACTGATTTGTCCAAGGCTGAAAAATCAGTACTAGTGTTACTGGTCATCACTAACTCAGGAAACACATGGGTGAGCCCTGGTGCACTGCCTCAGCTGTTCCCTCCCAGGGAATCTCAAGGATGCTAGACAAATAGAAAGCAAAGTTCCTGGCTGGGTTTTCCAACACTGCTGCTGAACAAACTCAGGTAAACTTATTGTAAGAGAAGCCAATAACTCAAGAGAGAAGGGTTTAGAAAAGAGAATGGAAGAGATTTATTTTGGGTGCCTGCAGCAGGTGCAGGTGGCAGGCTCAAGCCCTAACACCTGACCCCTCTGCTGGCAAGAGAGATACCTTCTCATAGGGAGAGAGGTTCAGGGGGTATGTGCAAGAGAGCAGGCAGACAGCATGTGATCATAGATGGGGGTCGGCAGATGTTCAGCACACGATCATGGGTGGGGAAGGGGACAGGTGGGGTAGGGACTTCTAGGTATTAGGGCTTTTCTGGCCTGGTGGGTGGAATGCTCCAATCACTACAAAATATCTTCGCCAATGCCTCAGAAATAAGAACAATGGGTTTCAGGTAGAGCATCAGTTAAGGGGTCTTGTCTATTTCTGGTTTTAACTGTTGGGGTCTAGGGTTGAGCAAGAGGACTAGCTGACACTAGGAGGTCTGGACTCCAAGAACTTGCTATTTCAAGTGTGTAACAAAGGCTTCCAGGAGGAAGCACACCTGGATAAGGGCTTTCTAATGGGTGTGTCAGAACCTTGCTGTGGGTTGCAGGTTGCTATGTTCTTGTAAAGGAGATTGTGGTTCCAGTTCATACCATTCTTTCCCCACCCACACCTTTGTTCCCTCCCCTTTCACACATACACTCAGCCTTTTAGGAGAATACAAGACTCCTTGTCTTCCCTCTTCCCACCGCCCTTTCTAGAAGCAACACAGGACATTTAGAATTTCAGAGGGTGGAGGGGAGGGATAACAAAGAATGGGGCATGCCCCGACACAGACCTCCCGGCCCTCATTCAGGAATGATGTGGTGATCTAGGGGACAGGAGAGGTTCAAATGACAAAACTAAAACAATTTCAAAATGAGTCTGATGTCCTTTAGTCAAGGGAAAACAATCCATGGACTGGGGGCACACAGTGCCTCACAATCACTGCAGCAGTCTTCCCAAGGGGTGTGGGCAAGAGCAAGTTCTATAGTGCATGAAGGGGAGCGGAATTTGTCACCCCAAAGCATGCCACTTTGGTGTGAAGATTATTTTGAGCTAAAGGTAATCAATACCCAGCAGATTCAGGAAAAATTCTATACCTCCCCCTCAATTGCCTACATTTACGTTGGAAAGGCAGCCACTTCCAGGAAGAGAGCTATTACTAGAGATAATTTTTTTACCTAAGAAACTCATCTGTATAACAGGGCAACCTTTGTTTTTCAAACATCCCCTTCTTTCCTGTAAATGGCCTTTCTCCCCTTTGTATCCCTAAACCGCTACTCTTTTCCTTAGCTCAGGATGTTATATAAGCCTTAACTACCTGGCTACCTTTTTGGGTTCCATATTCTCATATTTTTATGGGGCTCCCACACATATGAAATTAGTTTTTCTCCTGTTGATCTGCCTTATGTCAATTTGATTATTAGAACAGCCAAAGAACCTAGAAGGGTAGAAGGAAAATTTTTCTATTCCTACAGGCATTAGAAGAGGCAACAAGAGAAAAGGGCATGATTGGCTAGGAAACAGGGGGAGGGATTCCTTATAAGGCTAGCAGGAACTGTTTTCTAGGGTAAGGTAAGCTCGCTAAAGCTGTTTGAGGACTGTGATTGGTGTATGTTAAGTGTCCTTGACAGATGTTTCCACAAGTGCAGGCTGACTTAGGTTTAGATTTGTGATGGCCTGGGCCACTGGGGCAGCCTCCATTTGTGGGTCCTCATAACAGATTTACTTTATCAGAGGCACCTGGAAAGGATGAGGAGTCTACAGACAAAATCAAACACAGCATTCCATGGAAGGAGGGTTTTAGAACTGCTAGACCTTGCTTTTGAGTCTTCATCAGGAAACAACTCAAATCACGAGGATGCCTCCTGTTCAGCTTCGCTGACAGCTCTGCCATCGACCCCTTGGAATAAGGCTGCTGCCCACCCTGCAACCATCACTGGTCCAGGCCCAGGGGAGGCCGAAGAGGGCCTCCAAGGGCCTGGTGTTACTGAGTTGACCATAGACTACGAGACCAGAAAGGAGTGCAGGTGACCTAAGGAAAAGTCAGGAGATGGCTATAACCCTTCTCCATGTCACAATAACAGAGGGCACCAGAACACTAACCTCCATAAGGTAAAGTAGGGAATGTCAGCATTCAGTAAGAGTCCCGCAAGCTTCCTACCTAAGACCCCAGAAGAAGAAAACCTGGGAGTGCAAACAATTTGCCACCAATAACTTCCTTTGTCTCCAGCAAGGAAAGTGTGGGTTGAGAGGCAAGTGGATAGAAGGGAAGACCAGCCATCTCCCACCTGCAGTAATTGACCAGTCTCTGCCGGAAAGGCAAGAGAAGAGCAGCTGGGGCTCCAGTAACAGCATTCAGTCAGCTGCCCAGGATGCTGCCCCACAACAGCAATGCTGCTGTCAGCCAGGGAGAGTTGGTCAAGAATCCCATGGATAAGGACCAGTCCTCTACCATACCATTGGGTACCTTCGGCCAAATTAAGAAAAGGCACCGCTCTAAGCAGAGACCACTCCAAAGGTTCACAGTTTGGCAAACAGACTGTGTGCCAAATTTCCAACCCCTCAGTGCTTTGGCAGATACCCCTGTGCAATGCACTTTCACAATTACATTGTGCCTGGACAGGAATTCATTGTCATTTGCTCAGTGGAAACAGTTCTCAGTAACAAGGGCGTTTCCTAGTCTCAATACCATAGTTAAGGTTCTCTTTATTTAGGACATTAATATGAGCAAACAATGGACCTCCATTTCCTCAGCATTAACCGGCATATGGACCAGATGTTACCAAAAGTCTTTTCAGCTCTAACACTTTATAAGTTTTACATTTTTAAATACATAGGTAGTAGTTTGTGGGTTAAATTATGTTTTGA